CACTTACTCATCTATCTTGTCAATTTGATGTCCCTTTTTTCCAAGGCTGTGGAGGGACATTGGCAACTGCATCTGGGGCATTTTCCTCCCCTAACTACCCCCTGCCCTATCACCCTAATGCTGAGTGCTACTGGAACATCAGGACCAGCCAAGGCAGCCAGCTCCTTCTCTCTTTCTCTGATTTCCACCTGGAGTCCAGCTCCGGCTGCTCTTTCGATTACCTTGCTGTGAGTACCATACCTCAAAATGTATGTGCATTATAGGTACAGGCTGAGCCCTTGCATTCTTCAGTTTGAATACTCAAAAGTGTTACAGTATAAATTGAAGTTTTTACCACAACACATGTAGGTGATCTGCAGTAATTTGAGTTTCACTTATCAACAGTTGGTCACATAACTTATAGGCTGACTGTCTTTGTCACAGAGAACCAATATGCAGTTGCTGTAATATTTGGATTAACACGAATTTATATATTTTTGTCTTTTGTTGAAAAATAGTGAAAGTGCACTCTTCACACCAAAACACAAACTTATAGCCAACAAATCACAAGATTGCATAATCATAGGGCGGCTGTGACTGAGGGGTAGAGCGGTCGTCCTCCAACAGCTGGTCATCAAGACTAAGAAAAGAGCTATATAAATACAAACCATTTAACAGTGAACTGCTTTTATTATGCCAAACCCAGACATATCAATATTAGTTGGTTTTATGATGAAATTAATGTCTCACAGCAAAAGAGAACCAATATGACATGTTGTTCAAGCAGCACCAAGCACAAGCAAAGTGTCTTTGCTATAGTTTCAGACTATCTCATTACTCAATAATTTGTGAGTTAGTCTTGAAACTAGGTGTGGTTATAAAGATGGTAATGCATCTAGTTAATTAATAATTAAAAGTTCTTAATCCTTTTTGATTGAAATTAAAATGGATTTGGACACATCCTAAATACACACGTGCTGTAGGCCATCAGCCTAGATTGGTAAAGTAGAGCTTGCATTGACAGATCTCAAATATCAAGAGTTGTTATTTTGAGATTTTTCTTGTTTTTCATGCAATATAATTTTTAATGACAATTTGTGTGTGTGTTTAGGTATATGATGGTAACAACAGCAATACTCCAGAGCTGGCCAGGTTGTGTGGCAATCAGCTGACCAGCATAATCAACTCTTCCACAAATCAGCTTTACATCAAACTACGCACTGACAGCAGCATCAGTGGTGGAGGCTTCCTCGCATCCTACACCTCTAGTATGAAAACACACTCGCACGCAGGCTGCAAATGTCTAAACATGCCATAATGTTAAACTTTGGGAACTTTGCAAAATAAGATTGTGTGTTGCTGGACTAAGTTGAATAAGCATTTTTTTTTTTACACTAAGTAGATATGTAGAAGAGGGTAGAGTGTAAGTTTGCACAAATACCATGCACAAAACTTGCTACACCCTTTTTTTTCTCTCTGTCATTATTTTATTCAAATATAATAATGATGTGACATTTAAATATGGCTTTACATGATGACAGATTGGAGCATCACAATATGAGTAAAAAGAAAGTAAAATAAATAAAAGTGGTGTGGTGAATTGAAGAGAAAATTACATCTTTATAAGTAAATACAGATGAATTTTAATATATTTTCAAAATGACGTGCAGGAAATATTATTGGCTTTTAAATGTATTTTCTGCTGTAATGATACAATTTAAAACTAGTTTCCAATACTCAGATATATAATTCCGATGTGAAATGACTTTGTCGATGTTGATCAAGGTTGGTGCACTCTGAATATCCTTGAGAAAGCAACATAAATAAATCCAGGATTGTTATGGAAGTTTTCTGGAAGCTGGTTGAAAGGAGAACTCAGGCAGCAGCTGATGTCTCATGCAGAAGATTTTAATGTAGACTTGATGCATCAAGGAGACCAGAAGGTGAAACAATATACAAATGCTAACATGAGCAATTGTCACCTTCAAGCCTGAAAATGTCTCCCACAGCATCCTCATATATCTTCCTCTACTTGTGTCACCCTTTCTAACAGCACATCCATGAATGGCTAGAAATGCTGTCACTTTCTATGCAACATGTAGGTGTTTGCATCCTATTGGATACTGGTGTAATACGCAAAAGAGTTGAAGTTGGTGAGAGTAGAAGTTGGTGCCTCCCTGGGGCATCTGAGTTAGATGTGAATGTCTCTAAGTGTAGACACTACAATGTACTGTTGGTTGGTCCTTTATCTCTAACCTGACCTTGTGTACTGCTTAGAGAGAGAAGGGGATCTGTGGAAATAATCAGGCACTCTTCTCTTAATGGTGTACAGATGTAATCTAATATACATTATATACATAATACGATATATAGTGGCATATACAGTAATGGGTGAGGATATACGGAAATTCCTCAACAAGGATCATACCTCAGACAAAGTCTGAAGTCAGAAAACAACAAAAACCTGGTTAAAATGAAATGCATTGGATTACATTGTGTCCTAATATTGTATGATTGTGTTCTTCTTCAGAATGCCGTAGCATGCTAATTTCAGGCCAACATGCAGGAGTGTTGGAGTCACTAAACTTTCCCAACAACTACCCACCCAACTCTCAGTGCAGCTGGACCATCCAGGCCAGCAGTGGAAACACCATTAACTACACCTTCACTTCTTTTCAACTGGAGGCCTCCAACACTTGCAACTTTGACTACATCAAGGTACACAGATGCATGTCATTACCATACCATACTATCGTCATGTGTA